GAGAGAGAGAGAGAGAGAGAGAGAGAGAGAGAGAGAGAGAGAGAGAGTGAAGCAGCTATAAAATGTAAATGAGGCTCTTCTCTTTTTTTCGTCGTTGTCGTTGTATCGGAACTGAGGTGAAAAAACATAAATAAATAAACGTAATTAAATTGTCAGATCAATTCTTGTATCAGTGCATTCATTTGAATTTGTCTGCGGTCTAACCGAATCTATTCATCTGTGTATACACTGTTCTTGGCACGTCAAAAAGGTCAGCTATCGGTGTTTGGCGTGAATGCTTCGCCTTTTCATTTAAAGCATGATGAAGCTGAAGCTCCAATGCATAAGCTATACATGGTGTTTCAATCAAATGGCGTGAACAATTTTATCGATCGTAAATCTATCGCCTTTGCATTTAAGTAAAATGGACATGACCAAGAAAGTGCTTGGATGGCGGTACAAAATGGCCAAATTCCTACACAAGAATGTTGGAGCCTCATGTTTGTCACAAATTATGTTCAGTTGCTATTTTCGATCGAAAAACAAATCGAAAGAAAAGCCAACAGCTTCCAAAAAATTTAAATTGATTTCCTATTGAACAAATGGTTTAATCGCCCGCATTTAATTACGATTAAGGCAATCGAAGAAGGATAATAAGTCGCCAATGGCTCACCACTGAGGTCATCTGACTCAGTATTCTATACCAAGATTAGATCTCGATCACAATATGGTTGCTGCTTAAAATTCAGTATACTCAATACTGGTTATAGAAAATCACCCGTAATCGATTTTGAAATCGATTACAATCAAAATACAAAGTGGAGTCGATGAATAGAAAGGAATAGAGAGAGAGAGAGAGAAAGATAGAAAAAATGTTAATTGTTTGTTGACCATTATGTCGATCACGACAACGACTTCTAGTACTGGATTTTCAAATTCCAATGTGCGAGTGATTTTCCTTCTGACCATTTCCATTCATGAGCCCGTAAAACTGGCCATAATACTAGAAGTTCCTTCAAACAATGCTCGCATTTGAATAAATCGCCCATTTCTCTTCGGAATCAAAACATTTCGACGACGATTCAAGGTGATTGAAGGTTGAAAAGAAATGCTAGACCACGTGATTTACCTCACAACGGCTGTTATTCTGTCGAGCCCAAACAAAGATTGATGGAATTCCGTCGGTTCAAGAGTCGCCGCATATACATCCAATCATGGTTGGTGCATGGTAGGCATTCGCCATTTAAGTGAAATGGAAGTGAAAAAAAAAAAACTGAATTCCATGGACCCCTGATGAGCTCAGATTTATTACAACTACGTATTTAAAACACAATAAGTCAACGCACACACCCATGCGAACTGGCTACCAAACTCAAAAACGTTCAACCGAAACAAAACCCAACGAAAAAATCATTTAACTCGTTTCTTTTATGGTGTACAAACTGGTTTGACATCGAGTCTCTTCGTTCATTCGTTCATTCGTTTGTTTTTGTTCCTTTCCATCACACATTTGATTTCTTTCGGTGGATGTGTGAAGTGTGTAGCCACTGAAAATATCACAGAGTGAATTATAGAGCAACATCCAGTCAGAATATGGGCACAAAAGTCATCATTTTGAAGTGGTTTGACCGACCAAACACCCAAGTGTCCATTAGAATTAACCATTTTGCGGTTCGACGATGTTGAACAATGAAAATAAGACGAAAAAAAAGGAAATAAAATTCTAGTTGGTGACACATGCAAATGTGACGAGACACTATTCAATCAGTGTCATCCGGGGCCGGAATAGAAAATGTTGTTTTGAAAAAATTAACAAGATTAAAAGATTCAGTTGAAATGAGTAAAAATCCTTCATGAATTCAAATTGAATAGCGCGAATTAGTGTCATGATTTTGAAAACTCTATAAAATAAAAACGTGCATTTAATTTTGTGCCACTGGTGATTTGCTTAACTCATTACGCCCGATCCACTTGATGAAGTGATGCTGACGACTTTAAATGCCGACAAAGCAGCTAATGTGCGTATAAGGTGGAACTGGTTGCAAATATCATAAAGAACCACTGAAAGTCACGCCGCTTGAACAGCAGCAGCAGCAGCAATAACAACAACAAAACACGACATTTGAATCGACTTCTTTGAAACTGGAATCGTTTCTTTTTTGTGATTTCGTTTAAATTGCATAAAGTAGCAATTCGGTGTCAATCTCAATAATGAAATGAATATTATAATTATTCTATTTAGTATATCGCATAAGCTAGTGCATAATATCGATTTACTTACGACTGATTCACTTTGTAAATGTCCGTGAAAATTGTGTGAAATCCAATACGATAGGCTCAATAGCTTGGTAAACCCGACCGACGTATTTCAAGCGGGTGTCATTTAATCCATAATATGTGGCACAGAAAAAATCCTTATGTTGATGTATCGGAAAGCACAGTAGTAGGTATTCTTTTTTTTATCACAAATTGTGTGTAATCCCAGGCGTAAATCACGTTTTGATAATGCAATAGGTATCGTTGGTTTTTTTTTTAATTTCTCTCTGTTATTTTTTCCTTTTCGTTTATCATAAACTCACTTTAGTGTTTTTTTTTACGCTTCCTCAATTTAAGTACACCATTATCACAAATACCGTGTTTTTTATTTTTTTTTTTCTTGAAATCAAACTTCTTAATATTTTTGTTGAAATACACTTGTTCATTTGTTTTCACACTATTGGTGACACTTAATTTCTTCGTGTTATTTTTTTTCACGTGAAGACTTCAAAACTACTTGTTGCACTAAAAAGCATTTTCTATCCGATTTTCAGAAACGAAGCGCGATACAGGTGCGCATTGGTCGATGCAATCTACTCAACTGTTGTAAGCGATCGTTCTGTTTGATCTCGGACAGAATATACGTTCGGATTGGAATGCGTACGCATACACTTGCACAACGAGCGTATACGTACACACTGTCGACTCGACGCAAACTCTATTTGGTGTGAGTTCATGTACATGTACAACGAAACACGCTTCTGTGTTGACGGCAGCACGATTGTGCAATGGAATTTTTCTTTTCTTCGAGGCTTACATGCGAGATCAACACAAACACACACACACACACTCAGTGTAGCCGGTTTCGGGCGATACATGGGCAAGTTTCGTTTTGATTGGAAAATGACCTGGGTAAGAAGTAATGAACATGATTAACAGCACATTTTTTTGTGGAAATTCAATGAAATTTTCATAAATTGTCACAAAATGTTTCATACGTGTTCTGAAAATTTCATTCAGAGTTAGAAACATAATTTTAAGTGAACAAAAAGAGAGCAACATCAAACCGAAAACTGACAGTTTTGAATCCAAAAACGATCACAAAAGCATAATACTGAAGTGAAATACATTCGATCAAATTTCGAAGGCAAAAAAACTTGCCCATATCTATCCGCGTTTGAGCAGTGAGGCGCACACACTTGCAAAGCAATACACACATGTGTTTGTTTTCTTTTCTCTTCTCTTTGCTTTTTGTTGTTAGTGGTTCGTCTTCTTTTTGTGTACATTTCCAATGATGTGATACGAACGGCAACGTAAGAAATACAGAAAAATGGAAAAAGGTACGCAGTGGCGTCAGAAATTTCGTTCACTCGAGCAACTCTACGATTTGTTATCAAAACTGAGTTGAATGTAAAATTGAATCTCTGAATAAAAATGAAACCGACGTGTTGATCTCACTGCGCGAGAAACGATCATACCTGCGTTCGATGTACGCCACTGCTTTTTCAGATCGCTTTATCTTTGCCGTCTCTTTGTGTATATATTTTTTTTTATTGTCAGCCTACGCCATTGTTACTTATAAAAATCTGGTAGTATGAGATGTGCTACCTAAGGAAGCCATGTCGACTGCATTAACGGAAACCGACACCAAAACTATTTAATAGCACTGAGTGTATGGCAAACACACGATGCAGGCCCAACAACGAGAAAATGTAAAGAAAAAGAAGAAGAAAACCATATATACACACACACAGCCATAAATTTGAAAATAAATTTTGTCGATCGCAACAGGATTGAATGGTGATCGTCACACATACGCGTTTAAATGTTTGTGAAGAAATTATGTGTATACATGAAATGCCTTTTGAAATGTGTACACTTAGTGTGAACTTAGCTGTGTTACTGCGCATAAATTATAAATCGGTTTCGGTGTACACATATATACCTACATAATGGATAAAAAACTACTTATCTCATTTATTGTGCACCTAGCGTTTCACTGGAAGTGGAATGAAGTGGAAGAGTGAAGGCGCGCGCACGCTCGCGATCGAATACACACACGTCGTGTGCAATCGACATCGAGCACTACGGTTGTGTGTGCCATTTTCATGGGAAATATAATCAATTCAAAAGACTAACAGAACTTGGAATCAACACACACGCCGCACACAAATGAAATGGAACAGTACATTTTTTATTTGTTCAATATTGTTTGATTTTCATGATGTTTGCTTGTTTTCTAAGCTTTTATTCTTTCTTTTATGTGCGCGCAATAATATATTCATAGACAGCTTTGATGTTTCAGCGAATGCTCATTTGCGTCGTTATCATCAATATATTTCTCTTCTTTTTTTTTTCTCTCAAAACGATGTGAAATCTGTTGGCAACGCTTAAACGCATTAAAAAATAATAGCTATGAAATCATAATGATAAAACGAAGCTACCGGAGTTTGGTGAATAAAAAATACACACACACACATGCAAAATGTATCTGCCGTACTTGTTTATGGCCATCGATAGATACAGACGAACACATACAGAGATTTCAACAGAAATTGCTAATGAAATTTAACGAATCAATACATAAAATCCGATTTTCGGCAGGATACGTATGGCTAAATGCGATCTTGCACAAACAATGTTCACCCGAAAAATCGATACATAATCTTTCTTTGTTCGCTTGTTTGTATGTGAACAGTTTTTCTCCTACTGTTTGAATTTGCGCACTTTCCAGTCAATTCGTACATCAGACAAAAGGTACAAATCATTCTTGTCTTTCTCTCTCTCCCGGTGTCTCTGAATGGATGACTTGAGAAATCGATGAAAAGACCTATGTTTATCCCTATGACATCTACCTGAACTTGGGATATGCTGAATGATATCACGTGCATCGCCAGCTTATACAAACTGGCCCGAGAGGCTGTGTAATGCGTGACTTTTTTCAATTCATTCGGAGCAAAATGCATTTTCTTGCTTCGGCTACAAAAGTTTTATGTGCAAGAATGTTCGGTTTAAAAAAGAAAAAGAAATCAAACGCCTTTTAAGTTGGTGTTTTTTTCCTCTTCATTTTATTTTTGCTTTTAACACATACCTGCTAGATTGAAAGCCAGTTGTAAAACGATATTGACCTTTTTCTTATGGCGTCCTTATTCAGTTAATAGATTGCCTAGCCAGTGTTAGTCGACCAGTTCTTTGTCTAGCCAATGAACACAGTTTCCCGTGTGCCAGGGACAACATCGAAATAATTAAATGCCTTAAACCTTAACTATCTTCAAATGATAACGGCTATTAATTCATGGCACCGAATTTACTGTCAACACAAATGAATTTTCCTTGATAATTCATTTGATTAACGAACTCACACCTTTCTCATTGGCTTATTTTCTCATTGTTTCAAAACGAAAAAAAAAAATAAAATGACTGTTGGAATAGATTTTGAATGTAATTTCCGTTTGAATCATGCAAAACATTGTCAATTCAAGTGCTGACTTCAAATTACGTGGACAATTGTTGATTGACAATAAGCGGTAGATGAAACATCTAGTATCATTGTCATTTTCTCCAAAGCAAAACCACAACCTTTTTGCCCATAAAACACATAAAAATGTCGCTTAAAATTTAGTTTTCGGAATTGTTGTTTCAGTACACATAAGACAAACAAACGAGCACACACTCAAAATACTCTCAAGCGAAAGAGGTAATATGCGAGGCACGTACACGGTGTGTGTGTACGAAAACGCTATTTAATTTGCGTCATTTATATGCTGATCTTAAGCCGTTTGGAATCATAATTCGAAGAAGCAATTATTGCTTGAATTTCTTCTACCTTTCAACCAAATCCGAATGAAAAATGCCCCTGACAAAATGCAGAGAAACTGAATCACAGTTTCACTTCGAGAGAGAACAAAAACAACAAAACAAAAACATTTTCGTCAACATGTTCAATGTTAAAATTTTGAGCCCATTTTTACGTCGATATATAAATCAAAATGCCAGAATCTGTAACATGTTCTTCATGCGAAAGATATTCTCTTGGCTTTGCTTTGCTTCTTTTCAACTCGGAACTAACTCTCTTGATACTAAATACTGTTAGACCTTTCGCAAACGAATGTGAAATAACGAAAAAACAGGTTTTTCGTTTTTCTTGTGTACGATGGGACGTTTGCGAATCCCGTCGCAGTTGATAGTACCAAAGGTTCATTTAAAAATCCACAATCAACTTCAGTACTTTACTTAAAAATGAAAATGTTCTCATTTCATAACGCGTCTATTATATTCGCATTGGCATCAATTCCGTATACTGAATGCAACCATTTTTCTCATTTTAATTATATCATTACGCAAAATTATTCCATATTATTTCAACTGTTCGGTTCAGTTAAACTCTCTACACTTGCAAATGGTCGGTTGAAAATTCAGAGCGCGTTTTCTTTTGAAATGAATCAGTGTTTTTATTTCTACGCTTAAACGATTATTTCCGCAAATATAAGATAAAGCAAATCGCCTCGATACCTAAAATCCAATCGATCGCTTTTTCTTCTCTTGTACTTGATGTAGATTCGTACATACATGAAATGCACTTCTCCTAACACAACAACCATGGAAAATACTCTCTTCTTTTTAATCGTGGCAAGAGAATAAGAATGAAGACAGTTTAAACCTGTTTGACTGTGGAAGCACACTTTGATTCTTTCTACCAGATAAAATACAAGTTTTGTTTTTTTCGGTTTCGAATAAAGCTTTATTCCCGTCAAATGTTTTTCTTGGGCCGTTGAAAGGTTTTATGGATGCAAGTTTTCTGCGGCAAAACTAAATTCGCCTGTTAGTATACTAACCAAAAACCACTTCCGAATTGGAAGCGGACAACTGGTTTTACTTGAGTAAATTCATGCCAAGTATTTACCTTGAAATAATACCGTTGTTCCGTAACCTGTAACTACCATAATAATAGATTCATCGATGCGGCTTCCGCTAATAACAGATCATGTTACATTCGATTCAAATGAAATTAATGCACCTTTTATTTATTTATGATAGATTTTTCAATTTACAACATGTTTTAGAATGAAAACATCGACCGAAATCACTTTTAATTTTTATCTTTTATCACAATTTAAAAACTAGAATTTAGACTAGTCGCTCCGCGACTGTATTGCCATCATATCGCTTTTATCGAATCGATATGTAAAAATCACGTGATTTTCGGAAAGCCAAATTTGATAAAATATTGATTATATCAAGGTTCAAGGTAAAATACTGTTTCATCTTCACCATTTTCAACTACCGAATTCTTCAAGAGATTCCAAATATAGCCAATTGAATAAAAAAAAAAACGACTTTTTGTGTAGTCTTGACTTTTCAATGAAACGACTACACATGGGCTTTAATCCGATCTCTTTCATATTTCAGACCTCGTATACCCTTTGCAAATGGTTTGTTTGCGTTTATTTGCAGAAAATAGTCACCTTTTTTTGCGCTGAAAAGAGTTTAAAATTTTTCACAAATTAGAACGAATGATTGAAGTAGAAATTGAGGGAAATTGCTGAAGATTAAAACAGAATACAAAAAGTACCTCATAGGACAATCGATACCCATTGGAACAATTTCCGAATTGTCAACACGTCCTTTCTTGAAGTCGTTTAAACCCTTCGCATACACTGAAAGAAATATCGGCTGTCCACTTGGTTGCACAGTTTCTGCCCACAATTTCCAAGCGCGTCCATGGATGCGAGCATCTGAAATGAAAAAAAAAAGCCAAATACATGATTGAATAAAGAGCAATTCTATCATAGCATCATAATCTATTTCCTACCATCCGATGAGGACTTTGATTTACGAAGTGGTGAACTGGGCCAAAATTTCAATGTTCCTGAATCTTTTGGGTTGCTATAAAACCATGCATCGGTAAAAATGAAGTCAACCATGTGAGCGTCCTTCTCATTGATACGAGCGCCCAGTGGAAATACAGAAATTGGATCGAGCGCTGTGATACGAGTCAATTTAGTCTCGCCCTCTGATTTCCGAAATGCGCATCGCCCAATCATTCCAGCAATTTGACCTAAAAAAAAAAATACAAATAAAATGAATTGTGATTTATTAATGTTTCAAATGATGAGTAAATAGACGCTAACCTCCGAGAGCATGACCGATAACGTGAAATCGATTCACATCGAGACCTTCATCGATCCAATCTAAAACTACTTCCGATAATTTTGTCGCTAGCTGTTATATCAAAACAATATTTTTTTTCAATTCAAAATCATTCACGCAATCAACTGATACGAATGAAATTGCATTTTTTTTCTCCGCCAGACAACACAAAGCATTTTTGTTCTCGATCAAACAATGAAAATCATAGCAAAGCAAGGCAAGGCAAAATAAAATACCTGTTTTGCATTTGGAACTGCATCAATAAGGTAGTTTCCATTTGCTAGTTGCGACCAGTCGAGCACTAGAATGTTATGATCGTTTCGCTGGAGATAGGAATCGACGATAACATTTACACTCTCGTGGTTTGGCCCTTCCATATAGCCGTGAATATAGAAGACTGTCTTTTTTAACACATCGAAATGGGCATTCCCAAACATTGCACATGATTCACCCAGTTCATATGACCGCTGCGTCGAGAACGAGTTTCTGTCGAACGAAGAAAAGGAAGAAAAAAAAAGCGTAGAATGTTGTTTGTAAATAAGAAAGACACCGATGAAGCATCAAACGAGCAACAGAACGCAAACACAAGTACAATAATCCTGAGCATGTGATCATGTGGCACTGAATATACACGGCTCGTATTTAGATTCCATTTGTGTGCACTTTCCTGCCACTTTGAGCAAGTGACAGCTCTTGTAAAATTGATAGTGATCATTACCCTTGGAAAAAAATTATTCGCACTTTATCCAATTTGTGCTTAAATGCTCCGATCCCCATGAACCCTTGAATCAAATGAAAAAAAAACCAGAACACTCGAATTATTTGCCAATTGCCTCCCATTCTATTTAGTGAATAGAATTGTTCTTTTTATCATTCTTCGGTTTAAAATTGTTTCATTGTAACTTTGTTTTTCTAAATTGAAAAAAAAAGCCAAATCACGATAATTTTCACCTCAAACAAAAGAATGTGAGAATGCAATTTTAGAACGCCATTTTTATTTGATGATTTCATCTCTTTTTTTTTATTAGCACTTCAACCGATAAACTCACTTTTTTTGCTCATTGTTGTCATCGTTTCGCCGTATTCAATTTGGTGTGTGCAATAATTTATTACAAATAAGTTTCGATCGCTAACAATAGTCTCACGATTCAAGCAAGGATGATGTCTAACAATTGAAAAAATTGTTCGAAATTGCAGTAGCCAACATCATCAGCGGTGTTCTTCACTCGAACCCACAACAAACACTGACCGTGTGATCATTTGTTGAGATTCTAACTCCTCTCTGATCGACAATAAAATCGCGTGTTATTTGTATAAATATTAATTAGTTGGATGTAAGGTTCATAGCAACCGCTTTTGTTATACTGGAACCACAAACTCAACACAAATAACTTAATAACTCGTTTAGGAGAGTCTGTGTTTTTTTTTTCTCTCGCTTTGGCATCATCATCATCAATCGCAACACTTAACACACATTTTTTTGCAAGTCTCGTGCTGTCCACGCGCCGAATCAATAAAACAAACGAAACGGAACGAACGAATTTCAGTCGATATTCTTCGCATTACTGAAAATGAAAATGAATCGACAGTAAACACCTTAGAGCGGGTTACGGTAGAAATTGTCTACCGTAGCGGTCACCTTAACAGTCGAGCCGATTGAGTTGAACAAAATGGGCTTAACATGTGCTGTCAAATGCTACCTATCGTCTATTCAAGAGTCAAGGTCATTGATTCAATCAAACAAATTCCGCAATTCCGGGCACTTTTTTTCAATTCAATGGATACTCGTTCTTTTCTCATTCTACGCGTTGCATGCGCTTTCGCTTAATTACATGTGACTTTTCACTTACCTCATCATTTGAATACGAGTTAAATCAAACGTTACACTAGCAATTGACTACGTACCCACTCAACCAATTATAATTGATTCTTATACTGTTTTTCGACGGTGGGAAAATATTTGTGTTTAAAAAACACGCAAGATCATTGAATTCGATCGAGCTTCGATGTAAAGCTTTCGAAACGATTAGCGCGGCATCTATGGTGATATTCATGGAAATCAGTCAACAATTCGTTAGGCTTGGAACATAGTAATAATCAAACTGTCTTTTCCAAACCAATTCAATATTCGTTTTGTTCAATGCCACCCAGTCATATGAATAAACTAAATTTGTTTGTTCCTCGACACACATAAGAACGTTTTTTTGAAGAAAAATACAAAGACAACCATGTTGAAGTCATTTTTGTATTGTCAATTAACATTTTTGATTTATACAGATTCACTCGTAGAGAAAAGAAGCTCATTGAATTTTGATGTCACTTGATTTTTTTTCTTCATTATGGTCAATTTGACATGAACCAGTAACATATTCCATTATAGTTTTACTATAAAAAAAATCATAATAGAATCAATAACTCTCCGAACATTTTAAATTTTTTCCGGATTAAAAAAAAATTGCCCGTCCTTTTGATTGCTTTTCGGTCAAAAGTCAGGCTTTGAACGAAAAAAATCTGGCCGCTTTAATCATATAGGCTGTAAAACCGGTTTAGTTTACATTTTTATTAATTTGGAATGTTCTCTAAATATTTTACACAATTTCCCACATTTTTCTAGACTTTTTCAAACATTCTTGTTGTGATCAACAAATAATTGAATCACACCTTATTGTTTTCACTAATTCAATATTTTCAATTCATTTAAAACAAAAGAAATCGAAAAGAGTACCTTGAATGCATTTCGGTACTATCGTACCATCATCAGCATCACGACTAAACAGAAAAGTCGTCGGCTGTCACGTAAAAACATCGGTCGGTGTAGCATCATAGCAAACGAGACAGCAAATTTGACTCGATGTTCCCGTTATCCAGATTCAATGCGTTGTTGCTCCTCTGAATAAAGTAACTTTCGTATGCGTCCAATTTGCGCCCTTTTCGATTTCTTTTGTTTTAAATGAATTGAAAATATTGAATTAGTGAAAACAATAAGGTGTGATTCAATTGTTTGTTGATTTATCGGTTTTCACGTCGCTCAAGAACATATTTATTAATTCTTGTTGTGTATGGCTAGTGTTGGCTTCAAACGCTCGTTTGACAATTTAAAACGAAATTGCATATTCGTTCCTTTGGAAATTCTGGCTTGTTTGATCGTTAGGCCTTTTTACATGTAAAACACATAGAGGGCAAACTATATTTTGAATTTTATGGGCAAGACTGAAAGGCATTGACTTTGACATGAAAGATAAGCCATGAACTGTGAGTAACTACGTGTACCTAGTGTCATGACTACGTGTACCTAGTGTCATTACTACGAACTCACATGAATTTTAAGTAATCTCTCGTAATCTCTAAATCTGGTTAAATTTCGTTAAATACAGTATTTGGAGAACGCTAGGAAGACCGTGTTAATAAATTGTTAAATTTCCACATTTTATAAATTCAAAATATGATATATTCATTGGACTAATAAATTGTAAAAAATACACATGAAAAAAATAAATTCATTTAATTTTTCGGTAGAAATCTAATGATAAACTTCAAACGTATTCCCTTTTGAATCTCAATGAACAAATCTCATTACTCCTGAAATGCATTGACACATTTGGTAACTTCGATCAACCAAATGAAATTGAATTTGCTTCGGTAGAAAATCGAATACTAAATGAATTTTCAATGTTATTGAAGCATTTATTTATTCTTAATATTATTTATTTTAATAAATATATTTAAAAAAAATGAATAACATTCTTATTAAATTTAAAAACTTTGTTTTTCTGTGTACGTACTTAACTCACATTAAGTACGAACCGCCATTGCTGTATATTGCTGTAGTGGCAGCCATTTTCCTTTTGACACATTGAAGATGTGATAATCATTGAAATAAAATAAAATAAATATAATAAACAAATCAAGTTGGAATACACA